TGGATTAATTATTGCCACATTTCTTATATGAAACTGTTGAAAATTAAGAAAAGTAGGTTAGTAAAAGCAAAATCAGGTTAAATGTGTCTTCTCTCCATTTTAAATCTCTATATAATCTGGTTTACTGAATATATACGTACTCGTTCATTAGCCCGTTCGTTTATAAGCGGACGCTCCAAGATGGATAGGTAAAAATAGCAAAAACCCTTTCATAAGCCGACCTTATATTTCAGGGGTTGGCAAACTTTGGCTCCTGGCCCTTTAGGGTAAGCCGCTAGCGGGCCTGGACATTTTGTTTACCTGGAGTGTTCACAGGCACGGAGCCCCTGAGCTCCCAGTAGCCACGGTCTGCTGTTCCCAGCCAATGGGAGTTGCGGGAAGTGGCGCCCATTGGCTGGGAACAGCGAACTGTGGCCACAGGGAGCTGAGGGGCTCCATACCTGCAGATGCTCCAGGTAAACAAAATGACAATGTATTAGATATTCAATTCAATGATTCCATAGAGTTTAAAATCATCAAATTTTGGTGTAGACCCGTTTATAAGCCGACCCCCGCTCTTTGATGCGTCATTTTTTTACCAAAAATATTCGGCTTATGAATGAGTATATACGGTAACTTACAGTCTAGACATGAAAGGATTCAGATGTACATCAGACTGAAGAATAACCTGTTTCCAGTATGAAATGTGTGTTCAGTTTAATATGTCTCGCTTGAGTTACTCAGAATAAATAAGAAACTGGTTGTTTCAAAAAATCCATCAGTAGCATAAAGATGTATAGTAATGAGTGCATATAAGAAGAAGAAAGATAATTTGAAGTAGTCTGCTAGTTTTTATAGCTAAGAGCACAACACGTGTTAATTTCTTGATGTTTAAATTGAGTGTAATCAAGTATATACAAACTTCTTTTTCTCAGCAGAGGGTGTCCAAGGGGAGAAGAGGAAACGAGACCCTGAAGATGAGGGCGAGGAAGAGGATGATTAAGTCACTATAGAAATAAATAGGACCAGACTCTTTAAGTTACAGAATACGCAATAGTGATCATGCAGATCTGTATGTCTCCATGTACCATAGATGTCCTTACAGAAGATAACATGTTAACTTTTTATAGGAAAGGTGTGGTTTTACTATTTTTGCCCTTTTTATCATTCCAAATAAGATGTAATAGCCTGGTAGTGAACATATGTAGAAAACAACTTTCAACCCTATAATCACTGAACCCATTGTCAAGTTTTCCCCTAGAATTTTATTTGGACTTCTTTTGTTTTATACAAGCTTGCAGTGTTTGTCATTATTAGTCCACAATTAAAAAAGACAGACTTTTACATGGGTTTAGTATGGTGAATTTCATTTAAGATTTTAAAGTTATATATAAACTGAAATCAAAGATGCTGTAATGTGATAAAGTCAACAGTCTATTTCAAATGAAAAGTTGGTTATATCCAATTGAGCTGACCACAGGTCCTACTTGGAATCAACTTGATTATTTTAACTTTAAAAAAAAAAAAAAAAAGTGACCTGTGAATTATTTTTTTGGAGGGATGGAAGGAAGCTTATGCCCTCTTTTACTATGTTATTACTTGTTTAAGGCCTAGTTTTCCCTGTTTGTTCTGAATTTCAACTGTGCTTGGAGGACTTGTTGGATATGTTTGAGGATGTATATTAGCTCTCATGCTTTAATTGAAGTGGTGGAGATGTGGCATCCTTAACAAAGGCTTTCTTTCTTCAAAATGTTTAGTCATTGAAGTTAAATAGGTATTTCAAACAAACTAAAAAACAATCCAAAGTTTTTAAGTCTAACCAAAACTCCTTTTCCCTGCTACTTGCTTAACTTTCACTCACTTGGCTCGTTATGTTGTCATTTCATTAGTTCCCCAATTATCAGTCTTTAAGGTGAGACAGGACCTCAATTTCTAATGTAAAAACAAGCAGGTATCCCCATCAAACACTCTTCTAAATTTAAAAAAAAAAAAAAAAATTAAAGCCTTTATAAAGCATAAAAAGGCAAAAAATGAGTGTGAGCTCAATTCTCTCATCTTTGCAGGTCACTTTTTAAATTTTTGTATCTGATTGCAGCTAAATCATTAAAGGCCCTATTTCAACAGTAAATAGTTCTTAGTTTTCTATCTTGGAAAGCTACAGGAACTTGTTCTACTTCAGGTAGTCAGTTGCAAGTGCAGAAGATGTGCAGGCCAGGCTTTTCTCTGGCAGACTGTTAGTTGTGACTGGCAGATCTTAATAAATTCTGCCCCAATGGCCTCTCTCCCTTCCCATTTGAGCCAATGCGAAATAGAAGTTCAGAGACACAGCACTCCTCTTTTGCAGTTGTAATTTGGATTTCAAACAAGGCATCTCAATGCAACACTAACTTGCATTGTTTCAAATAGATACTCAACCAAATATCACACACAGCTTTATTCAAGAGACTCTATTTTTTTATTATATATCTTTCTTGGCTGACAGTAACTGCGATTAAACTGTGGAAAGATACCAGGGGTATTTCCTGGACCTGTATAGTGGAGTCACCCATATAGCACAGTTACCTGTAAATATTTAATAAGGCATTTCACACATTGGCAGACTTTAAGGCTACGTCTACAACATGAGTTAAGGGTGTGATTTCCAGCTTGCATACACATACTTGTGCTAGCTCTCATTGAGCTAGCATGAATATAAATAGTATTTAGCATGGCAGCATGACTTAGCTGTGCTGAGTATGTACCCATAGGGTTCAGGTGGGTTTGTACTCAGCACTGCTAAACCATACTGCTATAGTCATGCTGTGGCTGAACTACTGAGAATCACACTCCTAGCTTGTATAGACACAGCCTATATGTGATACATGATTCCTGAATCAAGTTAAGACAAACCGCATGAGCAAAGAAGTCCACAAAGCCCAATTTCTTGTTGGTTTTCTTCCTTAATAGAGCCTTAAATCATAGTTCATGTGGTTGTAAAGCATAGCCAACTTTTAAAGGCATTTGAATGGAATGTATGAGGCAGTTGGCAAAAGATTTGGAAATATATTGATTAAATGGGTTAAAATTTTAAATGGATATCTGTAAAGACACTAGAAAAGTACTTGGTGAAACAACATTTGCAACCACAATCTAAGTTCCCATGTTTGTTGTATGAATATTAAATGAATTAAAAAACTTAATTAAGTGCACACCCCTTGTTTTGTCATGGAGGCTCTGTGTTCAATGCAGTTGCTTTGTATTCATCTTTACTATCTCAAAGTTTTCCCCCTATATGTTTCTTTGAATGTTAACTTTTTTAGTCTCAGCAAATGATAAAACCTTCCTATTTACAAATATGTACTTAAAAATCTCTCAATATAAAGGTTGTACTAGACTGTCTTGTACTGAGGCATACATAAATTGTACTTAAATACAGAGTTAAACTGAAATTAAGAGATTTTTGATGGAAATTACTAAAATTATCAGCAGTCTTGTTTCAGTCAACAAGTCTGCCTTAAATCATCCAATGTTATAAAGATTAAACTATTTAATTATCTTTGGAGGGTTTAGTAGATCCTTCCATAAAACATGCAGGCTTACATTTTTTAAAACTGTTCACAATGTGGTGCATCAGTTGCTGGTGACAAAAGTCTGAGCCTCACATGCAATTGTGACTTTCTAAGTAACTTAGTCTTTTCCACGGTGTTACCATTTTAAATATAGTTCCCACATTTGCCAGTCAGCTTGACACGTAACCAAGATAGTACAGCTTTTTTTTAAGGTAACACATAGAGCCTCCAGATAACTTTTAACATTTTTTTGCTTGGTGGGTGGTCTTTTCATGCAAATATGTAAGGGTGGGTTTTATATTTTGTAGAGGTTTTTGTCCTATTTTAATGCTCTTTGTATGGCAGTATGTATATAGTGTGTTCAGTTCCTTATCAACCCTTTCCTTAAAAACTTTGAAGTAATTGATTTTGTGCAACTGTGTTTTGAATAAAGCCATGACAGTGTTAAATAAAACAAAACAAAAAAAACCCTGCAGCACTCTTCTGATGACTTTTAGTTGTAACAAAATGTTTCTTCCCCCTGTGTGCTGTAAATTTTAAATTAAAGTTTTTCAAACTGAATTATTTCAAATAAATTGAAAATGTATTGTTGTATTGGATTAATTTTCTAGCAAATAGCTTCCATGCAATAGCTGCATTTTTTGTTTGTATCAAAGGAATAAGCAGTATTTGCTATTTCCCAGTATTGTTCTCAGTTAATGGAAACTTACACTGTACTTTTTTTGTAACCGCAACTACCTGTCCTTGTAACATTATTATTGAAGTAATAGCACTTCCCTCAAGTTTTAAAATACATTAAGTGTTGTTCATATGTCAGTTGGGTTGTCATTGGGGGGGCGGGAGGGAATCAATTCTGCCTTGTATAATACAGTAATACCTAGCTCTTATATAGCACTTTTCACAATAGCATTTTGAATTCCATATTTCAGAGAAACAAGTAACTACAATTGTGAAACGATGATTCCAAGAAGATAGTAGACTGACATGCTGTTGTTTTTTTTTTAAGTGAACTTGTTAACAGGTTTTGATATTTATTTACATTGCAGTAGCTCCTACAGACCAAGGTCCTATTTGCTACATGCCATACCGTCACTGTCCCAAAGACCTTACACTCTAAGTAACCGACCACCCAGATTCATATTAGCTTCCTGAAAGAAACTTCTAATTAAATAACTTTCTGTAGAATTGTATTTTCCTAAGCTTAGCCCTTATTTTACCAAGAAATTTAGTTCTTGAATTTTGTTGCTGTGAGGTCTCTGCACTGAGAGATTTTTGACAGCTGTATATAAACCTAAAATGATGTCAAGAGAATTGAAATGCTTTCCCCCATGAACTCAATGCAGAAATGAGTGTGCAAGTGCTAGCACTGCCTGCCTTCTCCGTAAACTGATGCAATTCAACGACAGTAAATAGACAAATCTGGTTCAATCTTGTTAAGTAAAATCGATAGTGGGAGAACAGACAAGAGCTTGGACCTTGCTTTTTTAAAAAGTGGTTAGCTAGATATCTCTTGGAACTAAATTTCTGGCTCAGTCTCTTACTCTCTGATGTAGAAACATTGAGGTCTCCTTCAGGTAAGACTTTAAAAAGCTATTCCCTCTACTTTCCAAGGAGCTAGAGATCCTATTGCTTTGATTTTGAGATTGGTCCAGGATCCTTGACAAAAGTCCCCTGGATACACTTGAGCAAGCTAGTTACCTCCCTTGTTTCTGGCCTAGACAACTGCTTACTCCCTTGATATATTTCTGAAGCACTGAAGGCATTAAATTAGCTTCACAAAATTCTATGTGCCTATTTCCCCAGTGGATTTGTTTTTTGGGGGGAGAGGGTCGATGGTTGGGACTGAGTAAAATATGAGGCTTTTATAATGGTAAAGGGTAGGTGAGTATATCTTGGGTGTGAATTGGTACAGTTTCATAGCCTTGTAAGTCTGCAAAAAAGTAAAAACATTACACTGCGATATGCCAATATATAGAGGTGAAAACTTAACTGTAGTGCACAGTACTTTCCCTTTAGATACAAAAATAACGTGAAGACTTGAGACATTCATGGGGATAGGTGTTCTGAAAATGAGTGCCATGTTTACAGGCTCGTGTGTTGTCCTGACCTGTACTAGCGTGCCTTTCTCTCTACAGTCTAGTAAACCTTAAAAAAAAAAAACAGCTTTTGTCTGCCCTGTTAATTATGCTACAGTTACTGCCTGGATACATTTATGGAAAGTGGAAGGGTTCCTGGGGTAGGGCAGTTATGTCAGTATCAACGGTGCTTTCTCTTAAAGAACAGTTGATTTCTGTTTATACTGTTGCTTATGTATCAGAGGGGTAGCCCTGTTAGTCTGAGTCTGTAAAAAGCAACAGAGGGTCCTGTGGCACCTTTAAGACTAACAGAAGTATTGGGAGCATAAGCTTTCGTGGGTAAGAACCTCACTTCTTCAGATGCAAGTCATCTGAAGAAGTGAGGTTCTTACCCATGAAAGCTTATGCTCCCAATACTTCTGTTAGTCTTAAAGGTGCCACAGGACCCACTGTTGCTTATGTCATCCATTTTGTCACAACCTGCACAAGAGTCCCATGCACATTTTTTCCTCATACTTTCTCTATTTACCTGTTCCCCACTTCCTGCCCCTTCCTCTTTAGTCCTATTCCCTCCCTTGTGTGACTGCTTTATGCCCCATATTTTGCTCTCTCGTGGTCCTTCTCCCCTCCCCCCGCTATGCTTGTGTCTCAGTGCTGTCCTGCATCTCCTCATTGTGTTTCTGTTCCCCACCGGTTCAGTGCACACTGACAAGTGGGACACAACAGCCTCTTTTCAGAGAAGCCTGTGGTGATTAAAATGGGGCGCCCTGCCCCATCCCCTTCACCCAGCCAAGCGCAGGCTGCTTGAGGCAAGAGCTGATTGGCCCCTGAGCGCGGGAAAGCCGTTATCCACGGGTTTTCCCCAATTGAGCTGCAGGGGCTAGGCAGCGACCCGCCGCTGACTGGCTGAAATTTGCCGCAGTTTTCCCCCTCCCCCTCTCCTTCCCCTCCAGCCTCGTGCGCAGCCGGCGCGCGGGGATTAAGCTTTGAAGTGGCACGAGCGCTTCCCCCTCGGCTCCAACGGTCGCTCCCCAGCCCCTCCGCTTCCCGCCCCCGCCCTTTTGCCCCACTGTGGCTCAATGATTTATTTTTGTAGGGGAAGAGGGAGGAGGGGTGAAACTCCCGCCCAGTGCCATAAATTCCACCTTTGAACCACCATTTGCTACATAATGTCCGAAAAATAAAATTAATTCCTGTCAGCTGGTTAATATTTTTCATCCCCCTCCCCCGCCGAAGAGAAACACCCAGCCCCAAACCCTGAACTTTCTCCTCAAATCTAGACTGAAAAATGTGGTTTTTGTAGTGGGCGAGAGAGCTCAAGGATTGTTTTAAATAATCATTTCCCTCATAGATTTAAAAGTTACGTTTAATTTGTCAGTTGCTGCCTGGTTTAACCAAATATAAAAAAAAAGGCAAATTCTGTCAAGTACGGTACACAGTTTACAAAATATCCTCACCACCCCAGATCCGCTCCTTACATGTGAGTTTGTTGCTGGTCTGCTGGGAGATTCTGAGGCCAATCAGGCCATTGCTCCACCTTTCCTCTCAATAAGTACTGGCAAGATGTCATAACTCCCTCATAGGCACATTTGGGCACTATGGCTTTTATCCCCCGTGGGACACGCACCCAATTCTGGTTTCTCTTACTTGCTAGCTGTTTTAATCTCACCCCAGGTAACATTTCACCCATAGGGGTATATTTTAATTTTGATATAAAAAACTACTGAACCAGTCACTGTTGCCAATCCCATACACTCAAAAATTATGAGATTGTCTTGAAAATCATGATTTTTAAAAAGAAAATATATATATATATATATATATATATATATATATATATATATATAATTTGTCTTCTGGTGCTGTAGCCTTTACGGGTAATGTTTTCAATCTTCTCTCTGCAACTGTGAGAGGTAGAAACATACTTTTTTAAAGACAAGCTGAGATTTTCATGTAATCACATGAATTCAGGAGCTGGGGCTTTAAGAAAAGCATCAAATATTGTGAGATTTGTGATAAAGTTGTGAGAACTGGCAACCCCAAAAGCCCCCATGTCCTTACAAGCAAGATGGGTAGCACGTTTTGAGTTTGGCAGCAATCAGTTTGGGGAAGAGATGTTTAAAAGAAAATGGGATATATACCTGGTGTTGCTAAACGCGAGGGTTAAAAAAATCATGAGTCAGGCCACAAAATAATAATTAAATTGGTTTAAAAATAAATTAAAACTAAAACAATGTTGGTTCCTTTTATTTGCCTTCTGGTTTCTGTGAGTTTGGGATGCACTTGGTTCATATTTTCAATTTTTTCTCTATCTATAAGGGCTAGAAACTTTAAATGAAGGTCAAAATTCTTCACTAATCACATGCCTCAAGGAAATGGGGCTTTAAAAAAATATTATGAGAGTTGGCAGCGCTATAAACCCATCTATGAAAGGGGGACCCTGGGCAAAAGCAGGGTCATAAGCAGAGGGCAATCCCATTCTGTTATTGGAGCCTAATCTGACTTCCTTTAATGATAGACTCTCATTGATTTAAATGAGTTTAATTGGGCCCTTGGATATGGGGTAGCTCAGCAAAGAATTGCCTTCCATTTGGTCCTGCTGTTGGAGGTGGTTAGTGTTGCTACCCTGATACTTCAGCGGAACGTGAGGAATGGGGGAATTGAATGAGGACTTGCCTCTTGTGCTGGTCTCAGGATAGATGGTTGTTGTCTACTCCAGGCCTGCTGCCAATAGGGGAGGTGGGGAGTAAGTGAGTTCTGCTGCTGAAAGAAGAGATTGGGCAAGTCTGTGACTTAGAAATCCTGGCAGGGCTCCTAGCAATTGCTTGGAATTAAGTTCCTGCGTCAAGAGCAAAACATCTATCAAATTACATGTATCGTGTGATTGCAATTTGTCATATGGCTAACACAATTCAGTGTTCCATTTATATTAAAATACTCAAAAATGTACGTACATTCATGAGAATGGGAATGGCTCCAGTTCGCTAGTAGGTCAGACTAAAGTGGCTGGGGAGGGAGTTGTGAGAGTGCTGCAGTTCACATGGATCCAATACCCTACTTAATCACAAGAATGAAGCAATCTGGCACAGTAGAGAGAGATGACACCATGTTGTATGCATAGGTTCATGATCTGCATTTGTTGCTCAGTGGCCAGTCACCTAAAAAACTGGGATTTTATTGTGTTGTAGCCTTAATTTACTAGGGCTGATGATTTTGCCTGGACAGTTTTGGACTTTCCATCTTGACCATGTCCCTTTTTAAAAAATAACTGAGATGAGGAAACCCTATCCTCATTCCTCTTAACTCGCCTGCCAAAAATGAGGGAAGATCCAAAAATAAACTTAATGGATATCAGGACAAATCAAAGGAAAACCACATATTACATAAAAGCTGGCAGCTTCTGGCATTGGGGAATGGGAGCCTATCCCTGAAAATGAAATGGATTCAGGTTACATATTTATTTTTGTGTTGGAGAGAAGAGTTACTTTTGCCATTTTTATGTGGTGCTTTAAAACAATATACATGATGTGTTCTAGCATTTACTAGTTCTTCTTTCAACAGTAAAGATAAAGTCAGATTAAAAATTTGCATTTATGCATTGCTGACAGGTGGGTAGCAAAATGAAAGTTACTTGAATCCTACTCTCTGAAGCACTGTCTGACAGCTCACATGCAGAATAGAAGGGTAAGTGGGAGAGGGCCTGTCTCCTGCCATTTAGAGATTAGGATTCTAATTTTTCTGCAGCACACAGATCATACAAGAGTGGAATGTGGGCGGGAAAGATAGGAGGCAGAGAATATTTTGAATGAGATGGGAGTAAAAGTATTTAGAAACAGATTGGGAAAGGAAAAGAATGGTAAGGTAGTGCATTTGAACACAATAATAAAAAATGAACCGGATTGGAAGCAAAATCAAGAGAGTGGTAGAAATGGAACAGATCTAGTGGATAAGGGGGAGACAACCTGAGTGAGGGGTGAGAATTTAACACAGAAAGCAAGAACTGAGTAGGGAAAGAAGGAAACAAATAAGACGTTCAGGAGAACAGTAGACAATGTCAATGCATAGAGTAACCAAAAAGGAGCCGCCAGGATCCTTTTTCAACCAGGCGTTCCCCAACCCGAGGATTAAAACATCAAAGACACATGAAAGTATTTAAGACCACCTAAATGACAGTAAACTATGCAATTGGAAAATTGGTAAAATTAAAGGGAAGATTCCATGTTTTTGAAAATTAATTTTATAACATTGATTATACAATTCAATATATATAATAAAAATGGAGACTGGATTCAGAATCTACAACTGCTGAGTGATTGTATGTTCTAATTAACAAAGGATGGAAATGTTTAAGTATCAAAAGAAAGTATTTGGAAAGAGTGTCAAGTAAGATGTCTCACAAATATCCTTCTAAACTATGCAACTTTCTCTTTTCTCTCAGGTCACAAGAATGCATACCAGGTAAAATCTTTTTTATTATTTATTAGGAAGGCTATATTAAAACATAGTTGTAATCAGAGAAGTGACTATCAAAAACCGGCACCTTCTTACTCTACATTTCTGCTTCTTGTGCACCTTCAATTTCGATCTGTTTACTTAATGGACACTAACAAATTTTAAATACTGTTAGCACTGCAGAGCCAATACAGTTTTATTTGAAAGATCTGTATGCATTGTCAACAGAATCATCTTTTAAATTCTGAGTTTAGGATCTTTTGTACTAGTTAGTGATGATGTAAGGAGGCAGTAATAATGCAGTTGGATTTTCAGGTCACAGTGCCGGTTATAGAAAAATCATTTTGATATATGTACTGAGCACTCTGGAGCTGGTCATACTTGAGGGAGAGTTACAAATGGGACACCACAATGTGATTTTTAGAGTCAATTTTTTGACCAGAGCAGCATTTTTAAGGTATATTCTCCCTATGTAATGAAAGCGATTAAGCAAATCATTAACCAAATGTCATGCTTCAGATGAACTTTGTTTTGCTGAAAGTGTCTTTTTTATTATCTTACATTTTAAAAAGTTAAGTTTAAAAACAAAAGTTTGTTCCTGGATAGAGACCCAGTGTTTCCAGCTGTTGTAAACTTTTAAACAACTATAAGTCCTGCTATATATAACTACTTGATAACACAGCTGAGTGTTGTCTAGTCTTTTGGAAAGAAACTCAAAGGTTTAGGTAAGCTTGTGTGTAGACTGAGTTCTGTGATGCACTTTGTGAGCAAGAATGATGGAACACTTTCCCCATTTTTCAAACTCCACTGAAACTGATGGGGTTTCATGATGGATGAATTTAACCTAGTATCTAGATGCTAGATACTGAAGCACTTTAAACTTTTATTATAGCACTTCATTTAAGTTAACCGATAGGTTCACACACATTTAATAATAATGACTTTATGTTTATATTATAACTCTTATGTATTTTGATTTTAAAATACTTATACAATATCACAGGTAAGTCAGTTACAGCTTCTTTCATCAGAAAGAACCCAAGATACTTTAAAAATGGAGCTGGCATAAATTGTATTCAGGAATTACTTCATCTACTGTTGAAATTCAGCCAGTGTTTAGCAGCATGCAACAATAATACTTAAACTTAGTAAAGGAAGTGGAAAATACCTTCTAAAAATGAAACTGGAAAGGAGAGTTTAGGTAGGCAGAACAGGAGTATCCACATTAGAATTTATTCAGGACATCAGGGTTAACATACTTTAGCATAATTATCATGGGATCTTTAACAACAGTAAATGCTAAGAACTTATTTTACACCTTCTGCATATTTTGCAGTACAGTGCTCTACAACAGAGCATTTGATTAAGCACTGACTCTAAAGAAAGAATACCAGATATTTAAAGACCAATACTACTTCCAGAAGGTTCCTTAGGTTTCTCACATCCAAATTCTGGCTTAGTCCATCCCGGCTTTTACTATGATTCTGTCAGATCTCACAATTACTATTGAATTTAGACTTTTGATAGCATAGGTGCTGGAACCAGGGGTGTTGTGGGTGCTGCAGCACCCCCTGGCATGAAGTGGTTTCCATTATATGTAGGGTTTACAGTTTGGTTCAATGGCTCTCAGCACCCCCACTATAAAAATTGTTCCAGCACCCCTGTTTGATAGTTGTATTTACATTTTCTTTTGAGTGAAACAAACACATTCACTACTGCCTTTAGAAGTGTAAACACAGTATTTCCTGAATCACTTATGTTTTTTAAAGGTCAGATTAACACAGATTGACAGCTTTAAAACTGATTCAGTGAAGTCAAGAAGATCTAAACCTGATATTATCATAATGCCAAAGGAATCAGGTAAAAGTAGATCATATTGCTCTTGTCTGAAACTATCATTTGAATATTTAACGCACCGAAGACTAAAATTGGTAGGAGTGTCTAAATCTGCTTTGTATATGTTTTATCTGCATAAGCACTCTTATTAAGGATAATTCTGTATTGTGTTAGCTTTTTTGTTTTGTTTATTCTATTAACGATTGCTTGGAACTTTGATGCTTCTTAATTAAGGGGAGGTAAATAGCACAGACTAACTCCAAACATAGTACTATTCAAGTTTGGGGCTTCTCTTGTTCTGAGTAGCGACTATTTGTTCTGTGGTGATTCTGAGATGTGGCTAAGGATCAGTTTAGGCTTCTTAATTATATTAAATTACAAAACTGTGTTTTGGTGAATTGATTCAGGACTCCTGAAACCTAGATACAGATTGGCACAATAGTTACGAATTTAAAATGCTTTGAATATTAACCTTACAACCTTCTTGATGTCTTGAGATATTTTGGGCTTTGTGGGAGCCCAGCACAAATGAGACCAGTCTCATTTATGCTAGAGATCTAGCCTGGCACAGAGCAGCTCCACTGTATATGAAGAGGGCAGTACTGTTCAGAAATGGAACTCTGGTTTAGAAACATTATTACATACACTTGTTAATAGAGTAATCTCAATATGAATATAAGCACTGTTACTCAAGAAGTGAAAGGTTGCAAAGACAAATTGTCCCCTGCTGATACTGAGCAAATTGTACCTACTTATGATAGAGCTGTTAGTGTTCTGTCTCTCTTACACTGTGGCAATACTTGTATAACTCATCAGGCCAATAAAGTATTACTGAATTGAAATAAAATTAATTGAATTGATTTTGGTTGCCTGTCTGTGTGATTGGGTTATTACAAATACTGATGGAGGGGAAGTGGAAAAATAAGGGTGAGGTAAGCCTTCTGACAGGAGGAGATGGAACAGCTGGGGAAGATGCCAAGGACAGCCATGGGGTATGAAGGCAGGGGTTCTGGAGGCCCTGCTGTGACGTCTTAATCTAAGGGCTTGTCTTCACTACCCGCCTGGATTGGCGGGTAGAAATCGATCTCTCGGGGATCGAATTATCGCGTCTCGTCGGGACGCGACAATCAATCCCCGAATCGATGCGTGTACTCCACCAGCCCAGGTAGGAGTAAGCGCCGTCGATGGGGGAGCCGAGGCGGTCGATTTGTCGCCGTCCTCACAGCGGGGTAGGAGTAAGCGCCTAAGGCTAGGTCTACACTGGGGGGGATTGATTTAAGATATGCAAATTCAGCTGAATTCGACATATCCGATCCGACTTACCCCGCTGTGAGGTGACTTACCCCGCTGGGCTGGTGTAGTACGCGCGTCGATTCGGGGATCGATTGTCGCGTCCCGACGAGATGCGATAATTCGATCCCCAAGAGATCAATTTCTATCCGCCGATCCAGGCGGGTAGTGAAGACAAGCCCTTAGTCTGTAAATCCGGACTGCAGCTTTTATCTAATACAGTCTAAGGGTATGTCTACACTATGAAATTAGGTCGAATTTATAGAAGCCGGTTTTATAGAAATCATTTTTATACAGTCGATTGTGTGTGTCCCCACATAAAATGCTCTAAGTGCATTAAGTCGGCGGACCGCGTCTACAGTACAGAGGCTAGCCTCGACTTCCGGAGCGTTGCACTGTGGGTAGCTATCCTGCAGTCTCCGCCGGCCATTGGAATTCTGGGTTGAGATCTCAATGCCTGATGAGGCAAAAACAGTGTCGCGGGGGATTCTGGGTACATGTCGTCAGGTCCCCCCCCCCCCGTGAGAGCAACGGCAGACAATCGTTTCGCGCCTTTTTTCCTGGGTTACCTGTGCAGATGACATACCACGGCAAGCATGGAGCCTGCTCAGCTCAGCTCACCGTCACCATATGTCATCTGGGTGCCGGCAGACGTGGGACTGCATTGCTATACAGCAGCAGCTCCTTGCCTTTTGGCAGTAGATGGTGTATTATGATTGGTATCCATCATCGTCATATTCCTCAGTGAGTTCGGTCAGAGGCGCCTGGGCAGTCATGTTTTGTCTCCTGGAGACTCAGTCCTGCCGGCAGTCCTATTGCACCGTCTTGACGATGATGGCAAGCAATCGTAATGCAGCATCTTCTGCCAAGCACCCAGAAGATGATGATGGCTATCAGTCATGCTGCACCGTCTGCTGCCAGCCTAAGATGTAAAAGATAGATGGACCAGATTTGTTCTGTATTCATTTGCTTCCCCCTCCCTCCGTGAAATCAACGGCCTGCTAAACCCAGGGTTTTGAGTTCAATCTTTGGGGGGGCCATTCTGTGTGACAGTTGTTTGTGTTTCTCCCTGATGCACAGCCACCTTTGTTGATTTTAATTCCCTGTAAGCCATGTCGTCACTCGCCCCTCCCTCCCGCAGTCAGACAATAGTTTCGCGCCTTTTTTCAGCCCAGACACCATAGCACTGGGATCATGGAGCCCGCTCAGATCACCACGGCAATTATGAGCACTATGAACACCATGCGCATTGTCCTGGAGTATATGCAGAGCCAGAACATGCCAAAGCAAAACCAGGCGAGGAGGCGATTGCAGCACGGCGACAAGAGTGATGAAGAAATTGACATGGACATAGACCTCTCACAAAGTACGGGCCCCAGCAATGTGCAAATCATGGTGTTACTGGGGCAGGTTGATGCCGTGGAATGCCGATTCTGGGCCCGGGAAACAAGCACAGACTGGTGGGACCGCATCATGTTGCAGGTGTGGGACGATTCCCAGTGGCTGCGAAACTTTCGCATGTGTAAGGGCACTTTCATGGAACTTTGTGACTTGCTTTCCCCTGCCCTGAAGCGCCAGAATACCAGGATGAGAGCAGCCCTCACAGTTGAGAAGCGAGTGGTGATAGCCCTGTGGAAGCTTGCAACGCCAGACAGCTACCAGTCAGTCGGGAATCAATTTGGAGTGGGCAAATCTACTGTGGGAGCTGCTGTGATCCAAGTAATCAACGCAATCAAAGACCTGCTGATATCTAGGGTAGTGACTCTGGGAAACGTGCAGGTCATAGTGTATGGCTTTGCTGCATTGGGATTCCCTAACTGTGGTGGGGCAATAGACGGAACCCATATCCCTATCTTGTCACTGGAGCACCAAGCCACCGAGTACATAAACCGAAAAGAGTACTTTTCAATGCTGCTGCAAGCCCTGGTGGATCACAAGGGACGTTTCACTAACATCAACGTGGGATGGCCGGGAAAGGTACATGCTGCTCGCGTCTTCAGGAATTCTGGTCTATTTCAAAAGCTGGAGGAAGGGACTTTCTTCCCGGACCAGAAAATAACCGTTGGGGATATTGAAATGCCTATAGTTATCCTTGGGGACCCAGCCTACCCCTTAATGCCATGGCTCATGAAGCCGTACACAGGCAGCCTGGACAGTAGTCAGGACCTGTTCAACTATAGGCTGAGCAAGTGCAGAATGGTGGTAGAATGTGCATTTGGACGTTTAAAAGCGCGCTAGCGCAGTTTACTGACTCGGATAGACCTCAGCGAAGCCAATATCCCCATTGTTATTGCTGCTTGCTGTGCGCTGTGAAAGTAAGGGGGAGACATTTATGGTGGGGTGGGAGGTTGAGGCAAATCGCCTGGCCGCTGATTATGCGCAGCCAGACACCAGGACGGTTAGAAGAGTACAGCAGGGCGCGGTGCACATCAGAGAAGCTTTGAAAACCAGTTTTGTGACTGGCCAGGCTATGGTGTGAAACTTCTGTTTGTTTCTCCTTGATGAACCCCCCCCCAGGTTCACTCTACTTTCCTGTAAGCTAACCACCCTCCCCTCCCCCCTTCGAGCACTGCTTGCAGAGGCAATAAAGTCATTGTTACTTCACATTCATGCATTCTTTATTAATTCATCACACAACTAAGGGGATAACTGCCAAGGTAGCCCGGGAGGGGTGGGGGAGGAGTGAAGGACAAGGACACACTGCAGTTTAAAACTTTAAAACTTTAACTCTTATTGAAGGCCAGCCTTCTGATGCTTGGGCAATCATCTGGGGTGGAGTGGCTGGGTGGCCAGAGGCCCCCCCACCACGTTCTTGGGCGTCTGGGTGAGGAGGCTATGGAACTTGGGGAGGAGGGCTATTGGTTACACAGGGGCTGTAGCGGCGGTCTCTGCTCCTGCTGCCTTTCCTGCAGCTCAACCATACGCTGGAGCATATCAGTTTGATGCTCCAGCAGCCGGAGCATCAACTCTTGCCTTCTGTCAGCAAGCTGACGCCACCTATCCTCTTCAGCCCGCCACTTGCTCTCTTCAGCCCGCGATTCAGCCCGCCACCTCTCCTCTCGTTCATATTGTGCTTTTCTGCACTCTGACATTGACTGCCTCCACGCATTCTGCTGTGCTCTGTCAGCATGGGAGGACATCTGGAGCTCCAAGAACATATCATCCCAAGTCTGCCGTTTTCTCCTTCTAATCTTCACTAGCCTCTGCGAAGGAGAAACATTTGCAGCTGGTGGAGGAGAAGGGAGAGGTGGTTAAAAAAGACACATTTTAGAGAACAATGGGTACACTCTTTCACGTTAAATTTTGCTGTTCACATTACACAGCACATGTGCTTTTGTTACAAGGCCGCATTTTTCCTCTTATATTGAGGGCCTGCCGGTTTGGTGTGAGAGATCACTCACGCAGTGCCAGGCAACAGAATTCGGCTTGCAGGCAGCCATGGTAAGCCATAGTCTTTTGGCTTTTTTAACCTTCATAATATGTGGGAATGGTTTCAAACAGCAGCGTCCTCATTTCCCATACCACGCACCCGTTGGGTTGGCCATTTACAATGGGTTTGCAATGTAAAAGGAGGGGCTGCGGTTTCCGGGTTAACATGCAGCACAAACCCAACTAACCCCCCTCCCCCTGCCACACCCAATTCTCTGGGATGATCACTTCACCCCTCCCCCCCACCACGTGGCTAACAGCGGGGAACATTTCTGTTCAGCTGAGCAGGAACGGGCACCTCTGAATGTCCCCTTAATAAAATCACCCCATTTCAACCAGGTGACCGTGAATGATATCACTCTCCTGAGGATAACAAAGAGAGATAAGGAATGGATGTTGTCTGCATGCCAGCAAACACCGGGACCATACGCTGCCATGCTTTGTTATGCAATGATTCCAGACTACGTACTACTGGCCTGGCGTGGTAAAGTGTCCTACCATGGCGGACGGGATAAGACAGCCCTCCCCAGAAACCTTTTGCAAAGGCTTTGGGAGTACATGAAGGAGAGCTTTCTGGAGATGTCCCTGGAGGATTTCCGCTCCATCCCCATACACGTTAACAGACTTTTCCAGTAGCTGTACTGGCCGCGATTGCCAGGGCAAATTAATCATTAATCATTAAACACACTTGCTTTTAAATCATGTGTAATATTTACAAAGGTACACTCACCAGAGGTCCCTTGTGCACTCTCAGGATCTGGGAGCACGCCTTGGGTGAGATCGGGGGTTACTTGTTCCAGGTCCAGGGTGATAAACATATCCTGGCTGTTGGGGAAACCGGTTTCTCTGCTTCCTTGCTGTGAGCTATCTTCATTGTCTTCATCATCATCTTCCTCATACCCCGAACCCGCTTCCCTGTTGCATGCTTCTCCATTGATGGAGTCAAAGCACACGGTTGGGGTAGTGGTGACTGCACCCCCTAGCATGGCATGCAGCTCCGCATAGAAGCGCATGTCTGCGGCTCTGCCCCGGACCTTCTGTTTGCCTCTCTGGCTTTGTGGTAGGCTTACCTTAGCTCCTTAATTTTCACGCGGCACTGCTGTGCGTCCCTGTTATGGCCTCTGTCCTTCATGGCCTTTGAGACTTTTTCTAATATTTTGCCATTTCGTTTACTGCTACGGAGTTCAGCTAGCACTGATTCGTCTCCCCATATGGCGAGCAGATCCCGTACCTCCCGTTCGGTCCATGCTGGAGCTCTTTTGCGATCCTGGGACTCCATGGTTACCTGTGCTGATGAGCTCTGTGTGGTCACCTGTGCTCTCCACGCTGGGCAAACAGGAAATGAAATTCAAAAGTTCGCGGGGCTTTTCCTGTCTACCTGGTCAGTGCATCTGAGTTGAGAGTGCTGTCCAGAGCGGTCACAATGAAGCACTCTGGGATAGCTCCTGGAGGCCAATACCGTCGAATTCCGTCCACACTACCCCAAATCCGACCCGGAAAGGCTGATTTCAGCGCTAATCCCCTCGTCGGAGGTGGAGTAAAGAAACCGGTTTAAAGGGCCCTTTAAGTCGAAAAAAAGGGCTTCGTCGTGTGGACATGTCCAGGCTTAATTCAATTTAACGCTGCTAAATTCGACCTAAACTCGTAGTGTAGACCAGGCCTAAATTGGCTTCATTGCAGCAAAATGCCTTCTCTATCTGTAGTAAATAAAATGCTTTCCTTACATTATCATAAAATGCATTCATCATCAAATGTATTCGTTGTCAATACCGTGGCATAAATGGAAGTAGTTATGGAATAAGCTGTACTTTATTGTGTAAATGTTAAATTAAACACATATCCTATACTAATTAGTTTTACGTTTCTAATTTCTAGCAATATTAAACCAGAGGGGCACAAAGAAATGTTATAAAATCAGTGTACATGAAAAACAATATATATTTTTAAATGCTTCTAATTTTATTAAACCTATTCAATGGAATCACATAAAGCTTTCACAAAAATTAAAATATTTGATCCCATTAAAAAGCACTGTGAGTTTGGGAAGTAATATTTTTTTTCCCTACAGAACTGATTAAATAAATTCACACTTTAACTATATTTTTCAAGATTTCTTTTACTATGGAGTCACGACTAGCATCTTCATAATATATATAAAATGAGGTTAAGGTATCTAATTGACTCTGCATGGTTCTGAACCCCTTTGTAATGTCCTCCTTTTATCCAGCCCATTTTAAAACATATAAAATGTTCAGATGTATTCTAAACAAATATACTTTATCAAATAATTTCCAAAAATGGAACTCAAGCTATTGTTTGTTTGATATATTTAGTGCATCCCTTTGACAGGTTTTTTTATGATGACTTATTTCAACAGAGGAGGAATTATTGACATCACATATGCACCAGAGCAATGAAGAAATTAATGAAATAATGTCAAAGATTCTGGGAGATTTGGAACCAACAGAAGTAATACCTAGGAAACAGTTACCTTTGAAGGTAAGAATGGAAAGTTAGATACAATTACCAAATACAATATAAAGACTGATCATTCTATTACTTGGACCAAGCATAGAGGACACATTGTGGCTGATTTCCCCCATGTTGTGCAGATGAGGGTTAAGGGTGTGTGAGTAGGGAGGCATAGGCCATGGGCGGTGGATATAACAGGCCAGGGAGCCACTGCTGTGGAACACTGGAGTGGGGTCCTCGGGCCAGCCCGAGGTTGTGGCTGCTTGGTCTGGCCTGGGGCTCCTCCGGTGGTGGGGGTAGGGAAGGGTGGCTCGGGGTTCCAGACGGCCCAGGGCTTCTCTGGCCTTGGGGGGTGGGGGTGGGCAGGGGGCTCAGGGCTCCTGCCGCAGAGAGTGGGGTCTCATGCGGAAGGGGGAGGGCTGCAGGGATAGCCTCCCCATGCCTGGAAACATGCCTTTAATAGAAGATTTGGGGCCAACCACCATTGTTTTTTATTTAGAATTTGTGTTTCTAAAAAATAAACCAGTAAATTTTCTTAAATCCATTCTTCCGCTGGTATCTCTGTTTAGAGGATTTGCACACAGAGCACTATTAGAAGATCTGCACATAAATCCAAAGCTTCAGATACAATAGAGACTCCTATGTTTGGAACTTAAGTGGCTATTCAACTTTTGTGCTGCTCTATTTTGTGTTGCAAATTTGTAAAAACAATGCAAGTATTACTTAAACCTAGTAACATAAAAAATGCAACTAAGCCCCATAAATTTGTGACAAATGAAATACATCATCTATAAGTGATTAATATTGTACATATATTATTGGTTGCACAATAAATCTCTCTATATGAATAATAAATATACAATAATAGTTCTGTAAACAACTTATTCTTAATTAAATTATTTTAATTTATTTTAGTACAATAGCAGCCCCACCCTTCAAATGTGGTATGAAAAAATGTCTATTAAAGAGTTACTTGTTCTAGTGATATAAGATGGTGAGTCTCTGGGTGGGGTTCTGCGACCTGAAACGTGCAGTAGGTCAGACATGATCACAATGGTCCATTTAACATTCCTGTGGTGGGAAGAACACCTCAACAGCCCAACACTGTGGTAATTAATTTCAGAAAGGGGAACTATGCAAAAATGAGGAGGTTAGTTAAACAGAAATTAAAAGGTACAGTGACTAGAGGGAAATCCCTGCAAGCTGCATGGACACTTTTCAAAGACACCATAATAGAGGCCCAATTTAAATGTATACCTCAAATTAAAAAACACAGTAAAAGAACTAAAAAAGAATCACCGTGGCTTAACAGCCATGTAAAAGAAGCAGTGAGAGATAAAAAGGCATCTTTTAAAAAGTGGAAGTCAAATCCAAGTGAGGTGAATAAAAAGGAGCATAAACACTGCCAAATTAAGTGTAAAAATGTAATAAGAAAAGCCAAAAAGGAGTTTGAAGAACAGACGATCGAGATAAAAAAGGAGCACTTAAAGACGATAAAATAATTGCGGAGAAACTAAATGAATTCTTTGCTTCAGTCTTAACGGCTGAGGATGTTAGGGAGACTCCCAGACCTGAGCTGTCCTTTGTAGGTGACAAATCTGAGGAATTGTCACAGATTGAAGTGTCACTAGAAGAGGTTTGGGAATTAATTGATAAACTTAACAGTAACAAGTCACTGGGACCAGATGACATCTACCCAAGAGTTCTGAAAGAACTCAAATGGAAATTGCGGAACTATTAACTAGTATGGTTTGTAACCTGTCCTTTAAATCGGCTTCTGTACCCAATGACTGGAAGATAGCTAATGTAACGCCAATATTTAAAAAGGGCTGTAGAGGTGATCCTGGCAGTTATGGACTGGTAAGTCTAACGTCAGTACCGGGCAAATTAGTTGAAACAATAGTAAAGAATAAAATTGTCACACACATAGAAGAACATAAATTGTTGGGCAAAAGTCAACATGGTTTCTGTAACGGGAAATCATGTCTTACTAATCTATTAGAGTTCGTTGAAGGGGTCAACAAACATGTGGACAAGGGGGATCCAGTGGACATAGTGTACTTAGATTTCCAGAAAGCCTTTGACAAGGTCCTTCACCAAAGTCTCTTATGTAAATTAAGTTGTCATGGGATAAGAGGGAAGATCCTTTCATGGATTGAGAACTAGTTAAAAGACAGGGAACAAAGGGTAGGAATAAATGGTAAATTTTCAGAATGGAGAGGGGTAACTAGTGGTGTTCCCCAAGGGTCAGTCCTAGGACCAATCCTATTCAACTTATTCATAAATGATCTGGAGAAAGGGGTAAACAGTGAGGTGGCAAAGTTTGCAGATGATACTAAACTGCTCAAGATAATTAAGACCAAAGCAGACTGTGAAGAACTTCAAAAAGATCTCAAAAAACTAAGTGATTGGGCAACAAAATGGTAAATGAAATTTAATGTGGATAAATGTAAAGTAATGCACATTGGAAAAAATAACCCCAACTATACATACAATATAATGGAGGCTAATTTAGCTACAACTAATCAGGAAAGAGATCTTGGAGTCATCGTGGATAGTTCTCTGAAGACGTCCACGCACTGTGCAGCGGCAGTCAAAAAAGCAAACAGGATGTTAGGAATAATTTAAAAAGGGATAGAGAATAAGATGGAGACTATCTTATTGCCCTTATATAAATCCATGGTACGCCCACATCTTGAATACTGCGTATAGATGTGGTCTCCTCATCTCAAAAAAGATATACTGGCATTAGAAAAGGTTCAGAGAAGGGCTACTAAAATGATTAGGGGTTTGGAATGGTCCCATATGAGGAGAGATTAAAGAGGCTAGGACTTTTCAGCTTGGAATGGAGATATCCTAACTCCTAGAACTAGAAGGGACCTTGAAAGGTCATTGAGTCCAGCCCCCTGCCTTCACTAGCAGGACTAAGTACTGATTTTTGCTCCAGATCCCTAAGTGGCCCCCTCAAGGATTGAACTCACTATCCTTGGTTTAGCAGCCCAATGCTCAAACCACTGAGCTATCCCTCTCCCCAAGGGAAAAGAGGAGACTAAGGGGGGATATGATAGAGGTATATAAAATCATGAGTGGTGTGGAGAAAGTGAATAAGGAAAAGCTATTTACTTGTTCCCATAATATAAGAACTAGGGGCCACCAAATGAAAGCAGGTTTAAAGCAAATAAAAGGAAGTTCTTCTTCACACAACAAAGAGTCCTGTGGCACCTTAAAGACTAACAGATGTATTGGAGCATAAGCTTTCGTGGGTGACAAAGTGGGTATTCACCCACGAAAGCTTATGCTCCAATACATCTGTTAATCTTTAAGGTGCCGCAGAACTCTTTGTTGCTTTTTACAGATCCAGACTAACACGGCTACCCCTCTGATACTTCTTCACACAGCACACAGTCAACCTGTGGAACTCTTTGCCTGAGGAGGTTGTGAAGGCTAGGACTATAACAGGGTTTAAAAGAGAACTAGATAAATTCATGGCGGTTAAGTCCATTAATGGCTATTAGCCAGGACGGGTAAGGAATGGTGTCCCTAGCCTCTGTTTGTCAGAGGGTGGAGATGGATGCCAGGAGAGAGATCACTTGATCATTACCTGTTAGGTTCACTCCCTCTGGGGTGTCTGGCATTGGCCACTGTTGGTAGAGAGGATACTGGGCTGGATGGAGCTTTGGTCTGACCCAGTATGGCCGTTCTTATGTAATGTTCTTTTGACCTTAAAGTCTATGAGTCTATAACTATGGACTTAAGAGCCTGAGGACCTTACTTGCCTTGTTGAAATCAGAGCAAATTCCTAATCAATGACCATCTATTATAGCTGAACTAATGTAAACCTCAAATGTAGATAAGGAAAACTCCTATGTGTACTAGGGGAGCTTCCCTTCAGTTTCAGGTAGGAGTATGCGCCACTGGTGCAAATCATAGCTTTCCTTGTCTAGAGTCAGGGTTTGCAACAGTGCAGCTGCACTGATAGCTAACTAATGATTGCTGCAAGCAGGATAAATTCTCAATGTAGACAAGGTCTGATTCTCCACTTCCTTGTATCTTGTGTAGTCATTTACAATGTGCAAACTGAATGAAAGTAAGGTGTAAAATGCTGCCACTCTGATTTTGGTGATATTTTATACTCAATTTGCACATGTATAAATGACTACACAAGCATCAATGTGAAGAATTAATATGTATATATTAAATTTAGTCTGTAGCTTGCAGACTGCTTATACAATTAAGATAGGCCTCCCCTTGTATTTTTAAATCAACATTATGTGTTTTCTTAAAGCATTTGAACAAAAAAAATCCCAAAACACTTCAGAAACCAGGCAATAGTGTGTTTGTATGGGAAAACAAAACAAAAAAGCATAATTAACCTGTGGTACTCATTACTACAAGCTATCATTGTGGCTAAGAGTATAGCAGGATTCAAAAATGGAATAGGGACATTTACATGAATAATGAGAACATCTACAGTTACATAAGTTAAGTTTTTTTTGTACAATTATAAACCTTCATGCTTCAGCTTATAAACCGACCACTAATTTATGGATGTCAGGATGCAGCTTCTCCTGTTATTCCTAACCTTCTGCAGTTGTTCCAAACTGTTCATTGTGGGATTTCTTGTTCATTTCTCTGGTAACAGCCACTGTCAAAGACAGGATACTGGACTAGGTGGAAAAGTCCAGTATGACAATTTCTAGGTACCTTACAGATGTAAATAGGTAGTCTGTGACTTGCAGCAGATAGCAGATCTATCTATCTATCTATCTATCTAAATTACACACACACATGCACTATGGAGCATACTAAAATTTATTATATTATTTTTTCTTTTTTAGAATCTTCAGGAGATCATTACTCAGAAAAAGCGAAATACTTACATAGACTCTGATGTTTCACAGAAGATTAGGTGGGCTTCTGAAAAAAGGAGAAGAATACCTTTGGAAAAAAGGAGGAAAAGATTTATTTTAGCAAAGTCAATACTAAGGGCCACAAGAAATGACAGCTGGATTTCCAGAAAATACAATAAAACACAAATATTTATGATAGAAAACAAACAGACCTGTAAAGGCAAAATGCAGGAACAAGATAGGAATATAAAGTTTAGAAATCAGAAACAAACTCCTAAATGTGTCAGAGGATTATATCCCTGTACTGGAAAAGCCAAAAAACAACAAACATTAAAATATACTAAATATATTAAGAACAGAAAAGCTAACTGGAGAAAAAAGAACTCAACAAGTAATGCCAAGAAGGAGCAAATGTTAGTACTGAAGGAAAGAAGAAAAAGAGAAATATACATACAGAAAAGAGTAAAGGTTTTTAAAAATCCAGTAGTTCACGATAACTCATCCAACTATTTGACAGTTTATGTTACGCCAGTTACTGTTCAGAGTAAATTATCAAAAAGACTAAGGAGAAACCTAATTGGTTTTAGAAGAAATACAAGAGAAAGATCTTTGAATAATTTCTTGCAGAAATTTGGTGATTTTCTTAAATACCTTGCAAGACACAGAACAGTTGGTAATGAAAAAGTTACAGGAATTGATATTAGTCTTAAAATAAAAAAATCCCCAAATAAGTCTCATGTTTCCATAGGAACACAAAAACCAAACTTGAAAATTCTAATATTATCAAAAAGTACTGCTCAGCCTCCAGGAATACTGTCCTTCCCAAAACATATGGGAAGAGCAGAAAAGAAAAGAAAGATGTCACACATGAACTCTTGGAAAACTCCTCATTCTGTTTCTTTAAAAAAAACAAAACATAATTCTTAGCATAAATTCAGACTCAATACAGTTAGAGCAAATGAACAGAATAGTGTTTTAAAAACCAAAGGGAACAAAGAAACGGTAAAGCAGATAAAGAAAATAGAAAAGGGAATGGCAGAAAGATCTAGAGGCACAAAATTATAGCTTTTATTCGAAGGTTTAAAAGATAAACAGATGAAAAAAATCAGTTTATAAAATTCACCACAAAATAGTAAATGTAGGATTGATTACTAGAAAATCCCCATTCACAGCAAATTTGGAAGTACCATAATGATGTCAACTCATTTTAAGAGACAGAAGACAAGTAATTGGCACAGAAAGGAAGCAAACACTGCTAGCCTAGTTACTCATTTGAAGCTGTCAGAAACAGTAAAACACATACCAAACAATCCTAACAGCAGATCAAAACAAATGCAACTTGGCCACATGCATGAACTGCTAAGAGAATTAAAGATATTCATTAGTATTTTACTACAGCAGATGCTGAAGCAGGCACAGGAAAATGTTAAACATTTGACCAAAACTTCTGCCAAAACCCCCTCAGAAACTCCTTAACATGCCTCAATTTAAAAAATTCCTGTGAAACACTGACTAAAATCTAAAAGTGTTGAGGTGAAATAAATTCTCATATTGCAAATTGGGAGGAAAAAAGCAAAGTTAAGCTCTATAAAAATATCTTCATCTCAATTTCAGTCTCTAGGGTAGAAGGAAAAGAAACTGAAAAAGAAGTGGATTTGAACTTTTTCTTTTCCTAGAAAAAATCATTAATTTGTTTAATAAAAATTCTTCAAGCTAATGTTATTCAGCCAAAGTGAATTCAAGTATTTTACCACCAAAATAAAATATTAGAAGTTTGTTAGTATTTAATGGTACTTTATTGAAATATGACTTTGTTTAGCTAGACTTTTAAGTTCATATTCAAATATATTGATTCTCTGTGTTCATTCACATGAGTGTGTTATATCAAGCATATACAGTAGCTGAAGTTACTTTGGATAAACAGTAAGCAAGTCCATTAAAATAACATCGCATAAGTGCAGACTCTAAAAGGGTTGATTGCCCTTTGGGCTCTATTCCAATATTTTCACTTGCATATCCTTGACTTTCTTTTTGTCTTTGTAACTTCTACACAGTTCAGTGGGCCAAATTCTGGCACTGCAAAATAGCCAGCCTCCAGAAAACCCACAGCCAGCAATAGGAGCACAGGGCAGAAGTTGGCTGTACTTATTCTAGTCTCTTACAGTCACAATCAGAAAGTGGTTTCCCCACAGACTTTCCATGACTAGAGCTGCAGAAGGGGCTTTATATATGATGTGATCTAATAGTCAGGGGATATGATTGAGATGTCTATCCATGTATGCTCACTGATGTGGTCATGCCTTCCACTCATAGCCCCTCTGCAAATTATTCCCATCTTGTCTAGAAATAGACTGTCAGAAGGAACTGTATCTGGGGTTGATTTTGGCTGGAATACACCTTTACATTAATGCTAAACTTCAAGGGACAATAAGTGAAATAATTACTCTTAATATTAACATAGTGAAATAATTAATACTATATTAAGTCAAAGTACACAATCACATGCACAATGTTAATTCTTGAAATCAAGAGGGTCAGTTAGTCCTCAGCAGATGGGCCACTTTAAAAAATGATGGGTCATACGCTGAATATTCATTCAAATTTTCTTCCAAAGATAGTGTTGAATGGAATTCAGCTTTAACGAATCATCTTACCAACATGCTGAGAACTTGCTATCATGGAGCAGCTACTAGTCTTTGTTGAAAACACTATCAAATGTAATATAGTCTTTTAACACTAACCTATCAGGCCAGTCTGAGTTGTAAAGATCTGTGCTGGAATTCCTTTCTCTGGGTTTTCCCCCATTTTTTTCTTCCTTTTTTAAAATTCTGCTTTAGAGGATAAAACTATAGCATATATAAAAAGAGATGTATTGTAACTAACCTTAGACTAGTTTCAGACTTGGAGCTTTCATAGTTAGCTAATTAGAATTAATTGCATCTTTTAGTGCATATGTCATACACTCTACGGGACACTCTATACTACTGATATAAACTGTGTTGAAGGTCAGGGCCGAACCATGATGTGGCTCTGAGGCAGTAATCTCCATGAAGATCCCCTTGTAGGGTATCACCACTATCTGTGTGGAGGGGCTGGGGAGACTATGGACTCAGTGCACAAATCTAGTGGTTCCCAGAGAATCCGTGATAGGCCCTGATCATCCGTTCAGAGGCCCAATGCCTATGAGCCCGTACTCTCAGCAGCTTCCTTCATAGTTTGGCTTTATTGGGGCCTCTCTACTACAGACCCACACTGGCCACAGTTTCCTCTTGAAATTCCATTGGAGCTTCACTGGGTGCAGAATATTTGTGGGTAAAATATTTGTGTCCTGCTTCTGGCCTGTCTACCCTGCCCTGTATTTTCTTTAGCAGTGTTAAAATAGATATTCTTTATTTTGTACAAACTTTTATATTTCCCTTGTGTATTTCAGTGTACCTTTTATCTTGTGCGTTCCTTGTAAAATAATTGTTTATATCTTATATTGTATTTTCTACTGTACATTTATATAAAAATGTCTTTCATTATCCTTTAGAAAATATTTTTGTTGTATTGGTTGCAAAAGCCAACCATCTGCTATTTATAAAACAGTCATTTGTAAAGTTTCTCTGTTTTAGTACAGTTAACAAGAAAATAGAGTGGGCATAGGAAAAAAATGTAACTATGGGGAATATCTTGCCATTGATTTTTATGCAAAACCCATCACTATGTTGAAGAAAAGTTCTGCATGCAAGATGGTGGGCAGGATGGTATAATAATCAATATTTTTCTTGTTCAGAATGCTTTATAAACATCAGTCCTGATAATACCTAGGTCAATAAACGTTGCAAACATCATTTTACAGAAGGGAAATATTAAGTAGACTTGCCCAAGTGAATAAGAAGATTTACAGAAACCCACAGTAGAAGTAATTGTCAAGGCAGGGATTGGAAATCAGAAAGTCCTGGCCCCAGGCCTCTGTTCCCATCATTAAACCATACCTCTTTGACAGCTGATATTATTAAATATGTTGCTTAATAGTGTAAATTGTTATTAAAGGCCCAATCCTGAATTTTTCACACAGGGAAAAGTCTCACTGAAGTCAAATTCAGCTTTCCTTCTGTAAGGAGTGCAGGATTGGACTGTAATACTGTTACTGTGATCACATTACACCGTGTTAACCAGAAGTCAAATGCCAACAAAATTTATTGTTTTTTTCTAAAGGAGTTTAAGTGCTGTGAAATCAGTTCCTAATATCAAGACTCCAGTTACATGATAGTAATTTCCAGTTTAGTACTTTCAATTATTTTTAATTGCATATTACAAAGAGCCATATTCTGTATAACAAGGTGTTTGGCAGGATGTCTACCCCCTTTCCCTTGTGCCTTAAAATACAGCAATAGCTTGTGAAAGTCCTAGCTATTTGCTATCTGATTGGTGAGTAAGAGATTTAGTTATTTAAAATATGCACAAAAATACAGAATAAAGGGGAGATTTTCAAAGTCATATACGGCACATAGGCACCAACTTCCACTGAAAGTAAATAGAAGTTGGGCACCTAACTCCCGTTTGTGCCTTTGAAAATCTCCCCCTAAATGTTAAAATATCTTATCTTTACAATATTCTAAAACTTCTAATCAAACCTTAGGCCAGATTTCCCCAGTGTAGAAAACCTGTGGAAGGGGGCCACGAAAGAAGGAACATGAATGGTTTCTTGCCTTACTGGAACTTCCTGTCCATGGGTGTGAAGCTTCTTCTTTGAGTACTGTCCATATGGGTGCTCCGCTGTAGGTGTAGAGTCCCTGTGCCTGGAATTGGAGCTCTTTGATTGCAGTGCCCGTTGTGCCATACATGCGCTCCTCCTCATCTTGTGACATGAGCGGCATCTATTTAGCGCTGTGCGGTCCAAACACCCTCAGTTCCTTCTCAACCACCTTGGTCTGGGACAGAATCCTTAGCAGAGCACTGCGTACATCTTTACTTCCCTTAATAATACTAGTACTTTCATTTCTATTTCCTAGTTAGCAGCTGTTTCCTTTAATTTTTTTCTTCCCTTTACCCCCTCATAAAACATTTTTTTCCCCTTGGCTCTTTCCTCCCTGTTACTTTTAGATTAGTGTAGGTTTCCTTTTCTACACTACCTGTTTCTACCAGGAAGTTCTCCTTACCCAGCGCTATGCCCGGATTCCCCAGGTTTAAGGTGTCTCTGCTGTCATGAGGACATCTCAGTGAGTGATGGCCACTCACGGTGCATATGCTGTTTGGGTGAGGGGCACATATCACAAAAGTGTACCCACTGCCTCAAATTGAAGGCTCAGTCCAGAGAGGACTGTGAATTGAAGCTAAAACTTTTACTGGCACCATTGGTCTCCAGATAAACATACAAAAATCGATACTGTTGCCAGTACTCCATCTTGAATTTATTGGGGACCTACTGGATGCTATAAAGGCCAAACCCTTTCTCCCAGCTCATGGATTTTCCACAGTAACCAGTCTCATTTCCACCATGAGAACTAGCCCATCAATCTCCGCCAGGACTTGTCTACAGCTGCTCGGTCATATAGCAGTGGCCACGTTCATGGTTAAACATGCCAGGTTGCACATTTGCTGCCTTCAGGGATGGCTACACACAGTGTATGTATCCCACAGACACAGGCTAAACAAACTGCTCTCAATACTGATCAAGATCAAGGACTCATTAGACTGTTGGACACAACCCCGAAATATCTGTATGGGGGTCCCCATCCTCCAACCAGCACCATCCTTGATACTGATGACCAACGCCTCACTACTTGGTTGGAGAGAGCACATCTACAGATTCACACTGTACAGGGCAAGTGGTCCCCCTCAGAATCTGTATTGCACATCAACCTCCTAGAATTATGAACAGTCCACAATGCATGCCGACACTTTCTACCAGTAATCAGACAAAGGACCATAACAGTAATGATAGACAACCTCGCCTGCATGCTCTGTATCAACAAACAGGGGAGAGTGAGGTCCCAATCCCTATGTACAGAAGCTCTGAAATTGTGGAACTGGTGTATCCAACAATGCATCAATATCTCTGCCACTTACCTATCTGAACACCTGAACACCACAGCAGACTCAGTGAGCAGGAGGTTCTCACAAGAACACGAGTAGGAGATGAACACAAAACTCCTACAACACATATTCAATCGCTGGGGATTCCCAAACATAGATCTGTTTGCCACTCCCCAAAAGACCAAATGCCCACAATTTTGCTCAAGAGCAGGTCTAGGTCACCAATCTCTGGTGGACACCTTCTTCATTACGTGGGATTCACCCCTCCCTATATGCTTTCCCACCCTTTCCCCTACTATTTAGAGTGCCCCACAAGATACAAGTGGAACAAGCCAGAGTCATCCTCATAGCCCCAACATGGCCACAACATATATGATACCCTTACCTCTTGCGCATGGCGATCTGTCCACCGATCATCCTGCTGTCTACTCCACACCTCCTCTCCCAGGAGAGAGGCCAGATTCTCCATCCTAGAACTTAGAACTTCTCCATCTGAAGGCTTGGCTCCCTCATGGTTTCAGGATCCGGAGTTGACCTGTTCAGAAGGAGTAAAGGAGATTCTTTTAAATAGCAGATGTTCGACAACTTGCTATACTTACAAAATGGAAAAGGTTTCGGAATTGGTGCGACACCAAACATATCCCATTAATTACCATTCCTTTACCATTCATTCAGGATTACATTCTTAGAACTCAAGAGATTGGGGCTATCCAAAAGTTCTGTTTGCATACATTTGGCTGCCATTACTGTATTCCACTCCAAAATAGAAAGTCAGTCGGTATTTACCCACCCAATGACAAAAAGATTCCTTAAAGGTCTCCAAAACCGTTACCCTGAAGTACGAGACCCCACTCCAACTTGGTATCTCAGCCTGTTTCTATGCTGTCTCACCAGCCCCCCATTTGAACCAATAGTGACCTGCTCCTACATGCACATATCCATGAAAACTGCATTTCTCGTGGTGATTACATCCCCCCGATGGGTATGAGAAATAGGTGCCCTCAAGGCATACTCTCCGTACACAATCTTTTACAAAGATAAAGTCACATTATGACGTCACCCGAGGTACCATCCTCTTTCCATCTAAACCAACCTATCCACCTTCCCTCCTTTTTTCCTAACCCACATGGCAACCAGCACAAGGCCATGCTCCACACCTTAGATGTCAGATGGGCACTAGCCTTCTACCTTGACAGAAAGAAATCGTTCAAACAGTTGCCTCGTTTATTCCTCTTTATCGCTGAAAAATCAAAGGGTTCGGCCGTATCCAAACAACGTCTTTCAAAACGGATCTTGGTGTGCATCCACCTTTGCTATCAACACCACAGACTTCGGCCCCCCATCTGGCACTTGCATGCACTCCACTCACTCGTTCTCCACATTGATAGCTTTTCTGAATAACGAGCTGATTAGGGACATTTGTAAAGGCAGCCACCTGGGCATTCACAGACACCTTCAGTCACCATTATGCAATCACCCACAATGCAGCATCAGACACCCTACTAGGACCCACAGTTCTATCCTCCTCAGTAGAGATCACTCCAAAGCCCCAGCCTTCGACTTGGGGCACTGCTCTATAGTCACCTACAGTGGAGCACCCATAGGGACACTACTCGAAGAAGAGAGGGTTACTCACCCTATGCAGTATGTGAGGTTCTTCGAAATGTGTGTCCCTATGGGTGCTCCACTACCCGCCCTCTTCCCCTCTGCTTCAGAGTTCAGACATTGACTCTGCAGTAGAGAAGGAACTGAGGGTGGTTAGACCATACAGCGCTATATAGACGCCGCTCATGGCACGAGAAGGGGAGGAGCACATGTGCGGCCCAACAGGCACTGCTACCGAAGATCTCTGATCCCAGGTGCAGGGATGTGACCGCACCTACAGTGGAAAACCTCAAAGAACCTCAGTTACTGCACAGGGTGAGTAACCCCCTCTTCTGTAAGAGTCATGCTGCCATTGTGTGGGCCCCATGCATTTGATCATTAGTAGTTACTGAGGTGACCTTCTAGTTCATTTCCCAACTGTACTACCTCCCACTTAGATTTCCTCACAAAAATCCTGGGTGCAGAGGAGAGGATACTGGGATGGTGCTGTGGAGAGCAGCTTCTACCTGCTCTACCATCCTCTGGACCATCAAGAGCTGCATAGGTACATTTATACATGGGAAGGGCATGCTGCAGAAGAGGAAACCATCCTCTTTTTGCATAATAAGGGGGGGTGGGATCCACACACAGGAGGTCCTCTTCCTGTGCTGATCCATCTAGGGTGATCCAGACCTTAATTTTTTTTATATGCAGTCAAGCTATGATGATTTTTTATTTTAATTCCTAACTCAAGATGTGATTTTGCATCCCTGGCACACCCAGTGCTCCCATTGAAGTCAACGTAGGATTGGAGCCTTAGATCATCTGTCCTGAAACATTTCAAGTTTTTGGTGTTAAAGATAAATTCATGTGTTTGTGGCTTTCTTTCTTTGAAGCATGTGCTCCTTAAGATTAACAA